GGGAGGGGTCCACCTCGACTAGCCCCCCCCTCCCGGATCCCTCACTCCCCCACTGTCCCCACTTACTCTTCCAAAAGCTTCCGGGCGCCCAGTTTGTCCATCAGCACCTGGAACTGGGCTTCCTCATCGCCGTCCATGCCTCGGGACTGGTACACCTCTCCTGGCTGCTGGGCCAGCTGCTCCCCCTCCTCTCCCTGACATGGCTCATTCTGGCTGAAGAAAAAGTGACCTGGTGCACAGCACAAGGTGCTATTAGGTGGTGCCCACCCAGGGGCGCGCTCTCCCAGTTCCAGGAATCGCGTGAGTTCAGCTGAGTGAAGTAGAAAGGAGCCCCACCGAGCAAAGCCCCTGGACCTGTGCCCTGGATTCTGTCTTTCCTGCTTTCAGGAGCTTCTGCCAGGGATGCTAAAACCTGGGTCAAGCCCCAATGGCCTCTCCATGGCTCGCAATAGCTGACCGCTGGCTAGAACCAGCTGTTTCCTTGGGGATGTCTTCTCTAAACAAGACTTCCCCCGCCAGCTCATTCCAGCCTGGCCGTCCCGCCCTGCTCTCACCCAGCCACCCTGCTCCAGCATCTCTGTGCTTCCCAGTGGCAAGTTACTACCCTCCAGTGCAACTTCTTGTCCTCACAGTGCCCTGTCTTAACAGTGATCTGTCTTATCCTCTCAAGTCATTGAGACGTCCCTAAAGGCCAGGACTGGCACCGGCCACTGCTGAGTAACCTGTAAGGCACTTGGTGGCAGTGACGCGAGAGCATGCCTGCTGACTTTCCTGGCCAGTCCCTGCTCCGGTCACCACCTGACCTGGTGGTGGTCTGGTTTCTTTAGCCTGTTTGTGATCTCGGTCATCCTTCCTGCTGGTTACCTGGGAAAGACTAGTCTATTCAAAGCCTTCTAGAAATGCCTGATAGCCAATACCCATAATTGGAGATTCAGTGAGCCTCAGGCTGCAGGGAGCAGTCACCTCACTTCAGTGTCAAGGCAGGAAATGAGAGGCTGAAATCTCAGTGCAGCGCCCTGTTCATGCCAGGGCTTCCACCAGCGCTTCCCTGCATTCCCCTTGCCCTTCTGAGGTGGGCGGGGGGTTGGGAGGGAGGGTGTGGTGGGCACGAGAGAGGGATGCAGACAGCAGCGTGCAGACAAGCAGAGAGAGGCCCCGTGACCCAGAGCTCAGGGCAGCTTGTGAACCCCCGGCTCAGGCATGCACAGGAGGTGGAGCCAGAGCGGGACTCCCAGCACCCGTCAGAACCTACTAAATCCAGCGGTGAACTCCTCTGGGGTCAGGAGACCATTGCCATCAGCATCCAGGGTGTCAAATACATCCTCCAGCTCCTCCAGGCTGAGCGGCAGCTCCCGCTGGAGCTTCTGGAAACAGAGACAGTGTCAGTTAACACTGGATGAGTGGGGGCCACCCTGGGTCTGACAGCTGGGGTGGGGCCGCCCTGGGCACACGGAGCCTTATGCCAACAAGTGTCTAGAGTTGGGCCCATTTCACAAAAGCTGGAAGCAAACTTTGGAAGATCACTTTGCCATCTTTCTCCTCCTGTGTTTATTGGAATGTCTACTCACAGGGCATCTGCTAATGTGTAGGCGATTTGTTAAATGATGTCGGAAGAAGTATATGCACAGGCATCTGTTTGGCCTGATGAGGCCATAAATCAGTGCTGGATGTGAGTCCTGGCTGGCCAGCGCCACATGAGGATGGAGGGGCAGGGACGCTCTGTGGGAACAATCCAGGTGGCCTGATGTGCATGGCCCCAGGCCAAAGCCAATTTGCATAGTTGAAGCAAGTGTCCTTTTACACTCTGATAATATGAGTCTCCAAATGGGGATCCCCTGAGGGAGTTCATTACATCCCCGCTGACCCTCACCTCTTCTCCCAGTCTGCCCAAGGGCCTGCTGCAGAGGTTTGCCTGGGTGAAAATGATTGACCACAGTGAATGCAGGACGGAAGGGGAAAATGTGTAAGCCCATGTGGACAATAAAGAAGAGCTGGAAGGTGCGAAAGCCCATAACATAACTTGCAGGAATACCTGGCCAGATCCTAAAGCAGTCTCCTAGCTGATAAGCCATAAAGTTTAATTTGGCAGGTACGTGCATTGAGGGAAGTGTGATGCTTAGCAAAATGGAAGACAGGATGATGTGGAAGCCATTTAGAAGAACTGAATTAAATATGAATGAGGGCTTTCTTTTTTTTTTTTTTTTTTTAAGGATGGGGAGTGAGCGTGTGCAAAGATTCTCAAAGTGCATCTGTCTAGCGTACAGCAGAATCTCTGGCTTCTCAATGATCCATAAAACACCTGTCTCAAAAGTCCCGATGTGACTGTGTGGCCCTGGGATCAAGTCAATTTTGCAACTATTGAAACAAAAGGTACCCCACTGGAGGCTGGAGAAAATCTGAGTTCCCCTCCTATCAGTCTTGGGGTGATAGTCCTTCCTCCCTCCCACCCTCAGGATGGCTGGTTCTTATCTGAAAGGTGATTTCTCAGTCTCCTTTCTAGCTGGAGCTACAAGTAATCTGGGGGAAGCTACAGAGGGCAGCGGGACCCTCAACTTGACATTTACCTTGCTCGTGGGGACCAGGGAGGCTGTTGCCTACCCGAGCCTAGCCTGCGCTCCTGAATCTCACCCTGACTATAAATCCTTCTATGGTCTGTTATCCCAGTCCTTACTGTCTGCAGCTGGAGCCAGTTCCCACTTCCTGTGGTCAGTGATGATAGGAAGACAATGTTATATTCTTCAAGTAATGCATCTTAAGCCTTCTCTGAAAACTGCTCCATGCCAGATTCTAGAAATTTCCTAGTGATCCTACTTGAAAAGTAACTTTATTCTGAACCATAATGATCTCTCCTTTATCTTTCTTCTTAGTCTGCAGATCATGTAAAACTAACTGACGCTGCTTTTGTCCCCTGGAGCTAGCAACATTATTATTTTTAAAGATTTATTTATTTATGCATATTGAGCTGGGGTACAGGCCAGAGGTGCAGGGGCAGTGAGAGGATTCACCAGAGACAGAGTGGGGAGCAGAAGAGGCAGATCGACAAAGTACACTGCTGAGGAGAGCAGCGGGCGGGTCAGGAGAGGTCTGCCACACCAGGTGGGTCAGCTCCGGGGATCAAACTCATGCGGAAGTGGCTTTAGCTTCTTAGTGCTGTGCCTTAACCTGCTGCACCACCAGGGAGGGCCCGCTATCAACTTTTTAACTAAATAAGGTGAGCAGGTGGAGGGGGACAGGATTATTCACTCCACAAGGTGCGGAAACTTGCACAAGTCACAGTGGAGATCAGAACTGGAGAAGGAAATGCTTTTCCATTCAGGGCTTTGGGGCGTATGATAACGCTCAGGCATGTTCATTCCGGGGGTGTCCAGGGTAACTGCTGTCCATGTACCCCCCCACACAGTCAGTGAGAGCAGCAGGGATGGCGCAGAAGACCCTCTTGTTCTCTCTCCACAGAACTTACTAAGTGAAGAGCAGAACATTCCAGATGCTTCACTGCCCAAGGGGCACAGAAACCTCAGAAAATTAAGTCACTGGCCAAAACATGTTCACAAAAGTCTGCCCGGAGGCTTTCCACGCCTCTCCCTCCGTCCTGGGCCATGTTGGGCCTTGATGTCTCCGCCTCATGCCAAGTCCAGTGCAAGTAACTGTTGCAGCAATGTACAGGTCACACCTTCAACGCAACAGCCCCTTGTCCCCACGACTGGGGAGAGCGGGGGTCATGAGGGTGACTGGGTCACAGGCAATGGTCCGTAAGTGCGAATTCCCTTTTCGTTCTTTCTTGAAGGGATTATGAGGAGTTTAAAGAGCCGGTAAAGCCGCCACTGTGACCCGGAGTGACAGTGACGGAGCTCACAGGCAGGGCTTCCCCAAGACAGGCCTTAACATGCCTTCCACATGGACTGAGTTCCAGTGACAGAAATTTCTTGGGGGTCAGTGACTGAAAACAGGGGAGGCCTGAGCTCACCTGCTTCCCAGGCCTTTTTCCCTCAACTTGTAGAACTACTGAATGTAGGGGTAAAAAGGGAAACGCCTGAACTGTCCCCCTGGGGGGCTGGGGAGAGAAACTGGCACCACCATCCCTCTAGAAACAAGTCCTGGCTCTTCACCTACACGCTGTGAGCAGGGCTGGTGCTGACACATGAGGCCTTCATTTCATTGCCCAACTTTAGGGTACCTAGAAAACCTCCAAAGAAATCCTCACCGTGGTAGGGGAGGTGAGCGCCCAGGAGCGTGGCTACTGACATAGGGTGAAATGCCTGGCAAAGAGGTGCCTTCCTAAGGATGGCCTGGATCCACATTTCATTTACTCACATCTGGGTGAAATCCTGACTGCAGCATGTGAGACTTAAGTAAGACACTGGGAAGAACTTCTGGACATGAACAGTGGTAAGAGCCCTGTTTCTGTAGGGCCAAGAATTCTGAGCTAAGAATGACTGGGGGAAAAAAAATAAAATAAAATATCTGATGACCTACGCAAATGACAGAAACTTCAAATGCGCGTGTCCATACATAGTGTTATTGGAACAGTCACACTCACCTGCTTGCATATTAGTAAGGCTGATTTTGTGGTATAACAGAGCTAAATCCTCATGGCTGAGAAGCGTGCTTCAGAGCTTCAAACTTACTCTCTGGCCCTTAACAGAAAAAGTGGCAGGCACTGAGTTGAGAGCGTCCCTCTGGACATGCCAACAAGAGGGTCAGTGTGTCTGAACTTGGGGAGAAGGGACAAGGAAGGGAGTTCCGGAAGTGCCATCCTTCCTGGTCACTGCAGCTGACAGTGCCTGTCCCCACGGCACACACAGCCCCGCAGAATTGTCTTCAGCATTGAAGTTTCTGCCCCAGGCTCCCTGGAGTCCCTTAGGCTGCTATCACTATTCCCCACACTCCTGGGGGTACTAACTCAGAAAGAGGAACACCTCTGCCCCCCACCAAGTCTGCCCTCAGGTAAAGACCAGAGAAGGAAAGAATCAGGAGCCTGCCTGGGGCTGACACCTCCTTCCAGGGCAGTCAGAGGCAGCATTCTATTCAGGAGGTCACCTCCATGGACAGCCCCCAGGTGAGGGGGACTCTTGCCATGGGCGAGGAGGCTCCTCTTACCTGCATGTCCCCCCTGGCAATGAAGCCTTTGCCCTCTGGGTCACAGGTGTGGAAGAATTCCTGGGCCTTCCTCAGCACAGCCAGCTCTTCAGACACCAGCTCCTGGTCCTCTTTCCTCTCCATGTGGCCCTGGGGACCCACGCAGGTCCCACTCCCTTTCTGCCCCCCGCTGGGTCTCTGGGGTCTGGAGACCCCTCTTCTGGGAGGAGTCGCCATGCTGATTTGTCGATTTCTTCAAGTCTTTTCACCACCTGAACATGGAACACAAGAGAGGTGGGTGTGGTGGGGTGGAGTGAGACTGGAAAGGAATGAGAGGGGTGAGGGGAAGCAGAGGCCCTGGCCAGCATGCCCGCATCTCTCAGCAACCGCCTCTTGCTGCAGAAGCTCTGGGAAGGGGCAGTGTGCCCGATGGCCGCGAGATGTGCCAGTCCATCCGTCAGAAGACAGGGAAAAGGAAAGCAGGAATCTCCACACTGACAGGGGAGAGGAAGCCGGAAAACAGTCCCTCCCGGCTGAAATAAACTACAGAACAGACCCTGCTCCACCAACTTCCATTGACTGAGGGTTTAGTTGGAGGCAGGCACCAAGCCACGATCTTTATATGCACTGAAACAGGTATGACGGGTCTCCATTTTATCCAGGCTCAGAGAGGTTGAGTGACAGAGGCTGAATGGAAAAGTTGAGATTTAAATGCAAAGTCAAGTTGATATTTATTTTATTTTAATACATATTTTTATTTTTTTTGTTTGCATTCTTTAATTTTTTGATAGCCTAGGATCAAGTTGCGGTTTAATAATTATATATTATATATCATTGTTCATTTTTTAAAAGATTTATTTATTTATGGGCTCCCCCTGGTGGCGCAATGGGTTAAAGCACTGCATTATGAAGCTCTAAGAAGCCACTGCAGCGTGAGTTCGATCCCCAGGCAGGGAGCTGATCCACACGGCACGGCAGACCTCTCCTGACTTGCTCATTGCTCCCCTCAGCAGTGTCCTTCATCAGTCAGCCTGTTCTTCTCCCCACTCTGTCTCTGGTGAATCCTCTTACCCATCACACCTCCGGCCTATACTCCTGTTCTGTATGCATAAATAAATAAATCTTTTTTAAAAATTTACTTATTTATGCACACAAGAATGGAGTATAGGCCAGAAGTGCAGAGGTGGGGGATGAGAGGATTCACCAGAGGCAGAATGGGAGCAGAACAGGCAGATGTATGAAAGATACTGCCGAAGGGAGCAGCAGGTGGGTGAGGAGAGAGGTCTGCTGTGCCCTGTGGGTCAGCTCCCTGGCTGGGGATTGACCTCGTGCTGCAGTGGCTGTGGACAGCTTCATAATGCTGTGCTTAACACGTTGCACCGCCAGGGAGGCCCTCGTGGATCATTTTTGTACATGCATGCTTTCTCCTCTCAGGTGTAGTCCCCGTAAAATTCCCTCCACCAACTCACCCATGAACCATCACCATAGTCCCTAAGTTGAGATTTAAACTTTAATCTTCATTTAACTTATATTTGACCTTCATCCCATAATGTCCTGAGGCATGGCCAAGGGTAGAGACCTCTACTCACTGAGACTCATTCTCTCCTGTACAGTCCAGGTCAGCACTGGGTCCCTGCTGTACTCTCCGTGGCTGTCGGATGTGCCAGGCCTGCTTGGGTGACACCCAGGGCTGTCTTCAGCCAACACAGAATCACAAATCATACATCTTGGGCCCTCCCGGGTAGTGCATCGTGGAACATCAGGTTGAAGTGCAGCACTATGAAACCCACTGCAGCATGAGTTCGATGCCCAGCCAGGGAGTGACCCAGATGGCGCGGCAGACCTCTCCTGACACGCCTGCTGCTCCCCTCAGCAGTGGATTTCAGTACATCTGCCTGTCTGTCCCCTGTTCCCCACTTCTGTCTCTAATGAATCTTTTCACCCCTCCCACCCCTGGTCTGTACCCCAGTTCTTGTATGCATATATAAATAAATCTTACCAAAAAATCATAAATCTCAGTCAGATCTTCAAGTCCCCTGAGGTGTGTTTTTGGATGGAAGAAGACAAGTGGACACCTGCTTGCAATCCAGACTCCCCTGCCACTTAGTGACTGGACCTCTGTCTCCTCTGTATAAGGAAAAGACTGGGACCCATTTACTCTAAAACCCCTTCTAGCTCTGACCATCGTTAAGTCTGACGATTTCAACATGTAAAAATATTAATAAAAATTGGGTTGTGATCAAAGAACTTATCGATGACCTTGGGTATTTTTTCCATCTGAGTTTTTAGAAGGCTTATTCCACGTCCAAATTTTAAAGAAATGATAATATTTGGATTTTAAAATATAGACCAGCACTGCAGTGCATTTTGTGGGTAACTGGAGACAGAGATGTTCTAAATTAAATCTGCTGTGCGCAGAGTCAGAAAAAAAAAAAAAGATAGAAATCACTGTACCACAGGAAGCTTCTCTGATTAGCACAGCTTGTGCTTCTGCTCAGCTACACCAGTCTCCCAAAGTAACCCACACCTGTGGCCAACACCCTCCACCCACAACATTGGTCAAGAGCTGGGAGCCCAGAGCTGAGGACTGAGCTGGGTAATGCAGCCCAGACAAGGCCCCGCGACCACACCTTCTTATTCCCCTTGGGCTGGACACGAAGTTCCCACTCTGACTCCTTCAATCAGCCCCTCAATGGGAAATGGACTTTCTCTTTGTCCCTACATGGGATAAACTGGCTGCCATGAATCCTAAGCAGATTTAATATTTTTAGTCTGTCTTCCCCAGAGGGAGGGGCCTTGGCTGTAAGTCCCGAGAGGAGAGGATGCCACTGTGCTTCACGTTCAAGGCCAAGCACAGCCATGTGCAACGCTGAGCTTGCCAAGGACTTTGGGTAAAGCAGAGGCCACATTTGAGTTTCTCTGAATACACACATGAGCAGACCCCTGGGGTCTTCCTGGGGCCTGGCCGGATGTCTGCGAGATCACTGCCGCCTGCCAGGTTCTCCTTCATTACTACTGGCTGTGGCCAGATTGATAGTAACTGCCATTCCTTAAGGGTTTTCTCTTGCCAGATGTCTTGCTAGCATCCTTCCTTTTATTGGACCCCAAATCCCTCAGAAAGTATGCAGAGGAACCCCATCACAGAGGGAAACTGAGCTTGGGGAGGTAACTTGGGTCAAGGTGTGGTGAGTTAGAGACAGTGTGTATTACCTCGCATGGCCTCCTCATCGTGAGACTACCTGGGGGTTTGGTTTAACAGTCTACCCCTCTGATAACCTAAGTCACATCCTTCATTTTGTCACCCGTTCACTGTCACCTGTTACTAGGAAGCAGGTTCTGAGCTGACACTGAGAAATGAAAGCAGGAACATGTCAGAGTAATGCCTGCTCTGGCTGTATCAGTGCCTGTCGAGCAATGGTGGAAAGGGCTTGCAAAGGGGCCTCCTCCCTACCCCTCAGAATAGACTATGTAATAATCAACTCCTACTGGCCAGAAGTATAAGCTATGTGAGCACCAGAGCCTCTCGGGGAGCAGCGATCAGAGAGAGGCTCTCTCAGCCCAGCTCTGACCACACCTGGCTCTCCGCCTTCCCTGGCCTGCATCACAGGTGGTGGTGCTGTGAAGAGCCAGTCTGATCGTTCCAAAGAAGGCGGCGATGAGCACCCATCAGCCACGTGCCAGTCTTACTTGATTTTAACCCTAGCCCAAAGCATGGTTTCTATTATAGGCACTCCCTGGTTGGTTGCTGAATGGAGGAAAACAGTTCTTGGCTGACTTTTATGGGTGTTGTAACAGGCGGTCCTATAGATGGGCTTTTTAGCTCACAAAGATAAAGTCCAGATTTTTATTTCCAAAATAAGATGGCGTGACAGGACTGGGTTAACGTTCAAGTGGAAATCACAGAAATCCAGAGAAAATATCACTTAGAACTGGTTTCTGAGACACTGGGCATCAGGCAATGAAGGATAGGGATCTCCCTCTAGGGCTGAGCCTAAGTTGAGCTCAGCCCCTAAAGAGCAAAATTGAAGGCGCCACTCTGGGGTGCTGACCTGTACCTGCCCAGCTGTGAGAGCGAGCGTCTCCTTAGGAGCCATGTGCAGGCACAACATGTGGACAAAATGTGTCCACTCTCAAAGCTGTGAGTCGGAGAGTGACCCCCTTCTGAAATGTTGCACCTCTAGGCCACACTCACCTCCCTTTCGTCTAAACTTGAGAGATGGAAAACAAGCAAAATTAGCCCATTATAGCCGAAGAACTTTTTAGGTCATGGCACGAAAAGAAGAACCCGAGGTGGAGCCTGGCAGACTCCCCTCGCTGAGGAAGCCTGATTCTATACTGCCTCCAAGAAAAGTACTGAGACATAAAGACATGAATAGGTGGAAAGAGGTCAAAGGCATCAATAGGCTATAACAATCCTAAACACAGAGAGCTGAAGGACAGTGCTTTACAATGTGTAAAGAGAGCTGATAAAACTGCAAGGAGAAGTAAACATTGATATTAAAACATTGCCACATCCTTCCATTAATATTTGATAAAAGCAGCAGACAGAAATCATTACAACTCACGGAAGGCTGGAACAGTGCCGTCAGCTATCTTGGTTGACCTAACTGACAGATAGCCCACTCCACCCAACAAAAGCTGAACACACTTTATTTCCAAGTGCATGTGGAGTATTTATATAAGACAGTCCACATCCTGGTCCATAAAACAAGTTCCAATAAATTTTAAAGGATTAAAACCTTGCAAAATGTGAACTCTGACATAGTGAAATTATATAAGAATCCATAACAGAAAGACCTCTGGAAAAGACCCGAATCTGTGGACTCTATGTAACAGACTTCTGAAGCACTCACGGGTCAAGGGAAAAGTGAAAAGGGAGATCAGTAAGTCCTTTAAACTGAATGAAAACAAAAGCAAAAGCTATCAAATTGTGTAGAATGTTGCTAAGGGGGGAAATAATAGCACTAAACACGTTGGAAGAGAATAACAGTCTCAAATCAACAATTTCAGTTTCTACCCCCAACAAACTAGGAAAATCAGGACAAATTTTAAGTATAAGAAGATAAAACAACAAAGATCAGAGCAGAAATCAACAAGTTAGAGGATCGTAGAGAAAAACAACCAGGAAAATTAACAAAACCAAAAGTTGGTCCTTGAAGAGCAATAGAAGGAAGACAAAAATTGCATCAGGAATATAAGAGGCAAAACACTCGCAAATTCAAGACTTTTAAAGGCTA